AATACAAAAATTAATTTCTATTTAGTGTGACGTATATTATTCTTCAATTAAACTTGTTTTTTTTCATCAACGTGCTTCATCTTTCTCGACGATCTCTCTATCTCCTTTCTCGTATGCTCATAGAATGATTATCTAAAGACGAGATCAAAGAGATTGCATATAAGGACGAAGAGTGTCCATAAGTGAATATGGATGGTGAATGGTGATAGTGGTTTGGTGAGGCAGATAAGCCGTCAGCTACCGATGAAGATTGATGCGATTCGCATTAATCTATAGTTTGTTTGTCTCGCTCTTTCTGTCACCACTAGTCAGATCAACTCTTTCGCTAGACGAAAAATAATGTGAATACGTCTAAAGCTTAGTCATGTTTCACTTTATCATAAGATAGTTTTATATACTAAATAAAAAATCTGTGAAAAATATCTCTCTTATCGTAAAAGAATCATTCTTTTTGCTATGAAACTTTACGACTATAAAATGTCTATTTTTTGAGATGTATTATTTTTTTATGCGTATTATTTTTAGAATATTTCTTATTACGTTCATCTTATTTATCGGCGTTTGATTGTAGCTGAAAGAAAGTTTTTCTTTTAAATTACGAAGAAAACGTTTAATAAACGCTTTATAACACCGATGGCGCATAAAAGAAAATTATCTTAGACGCCATAGTGTAGCATAACTTTTGCTATCACGGTGAAAACTAGCGATGCAAAATCGTGGAAGTCGTGACATAATTCAGTCCCATACACACACATTCAGCCCGATAACCTCGTTTCGCGCGTTATCAGCGCTTCCTTTTTCGCGCGGAAATTTCCACTTTTCATCGATGGTGCCTCACGATGAAACGCGATTTACTCGGAGCTACGACTCCGTTTTGAATTTCATGAGGATACGTCCGGCGAGAGGCGGACTCGTTCAAAAAAAAAAAAAAGAGAGAAAAATGCACGCGGCGTTTTACTAAATTTTTAGAGCAGTGTGAAATTAAAGCAACTTTTAATTGCCGGCAGTGCGGCGCATCTTTGGAGACCTCTAATTTTTTAATTCGACTCTTTGTGCGCGACCAACTGCTTTTTATTTAACAAAGAAAATGCATTTCCTCGTTAATATTCCTTTGCTCTTTGCAGACCGGTCTGGCGGATTCATGAAGAGCTCTGGCACGCTATTAAAACGCTATGACGCTTCCATAAATTCCGTATTTTTTTCTGATGTTAAACGATTTTCTCGCGTATATAATTTTCCGAGCGCGGTTATTTATTTACACGGCGTGTAAAATGTTTTTACGCCGTATTTCTATTTTCCTACGAAGTCAGACTGGACTTTGTTATGCAATAACCAGGTACTTGACATAAATTAACAGTATATTAAATATGTGCACATGATTCTGTTCTATTTAAAAATTAGAGAGAGAAAAGAGGAAGCACATTTGGATTATTTCCTCAGATTTTACGTAAATGTTGAAGATATAATTCCATCTACTTCACGAATTATTCGAAACAATAACTGTTCTGTTTCTCACAGCGCGCAGTGTAATGTCATCTAATTATTCGTAAAAATCTTTTTACACTCTCTTTATATAATAATCTCCTGAATGAAAGTTCGAAGCAAAGATGTCGTTTCAAAAGAATGTGCTTTTTTTTCTATTCCTACATAGGCGGCGAGTTTCCATCGCGCTCTTTGACGCGGATGTAACTCGTTTGGTCTCGAGATGTCACCTCCACTCTATCGCGAACAAGGTCGGAAGTTGTAGATGGCGAATCGAGAGAAGTATGAGAGATAGCGCAAGGCTCGGGCAAAGTTTGTCACAAGTTTAGATTGAGTTCAATCTCCAAACGCACACACAAACACGTATACGTACACACCGAGCCACCTTCCTCGCACCTTTTGCCCTATCGTGACTCAACCGTCGATCCTTTCTCGACACCCTCTCTTCTCCGAAAGGCTAGCTTATCGCCTAATATTCAGCCGGAGGTGGAAATGTCGGGACGTTTCGTGCCTGGACTGTCGTCTTCGAGTTCGCGCTTCTATGCCTTTTACCTCCTCCACGTCTCTTTCCTTCGTTCCTTCCGCCTCTTGGAGATGACAAGGTAACCGTGCAAAGTGGAATTGTATGCGCCAAGATTTTTTTCTAGAAATTATCAACGCCCGAAATGCTTATCGGCGGACGCGGTTTAATGTGGCTGTATTTAATGAGCGCTTCGCGAGGGTTCACTGCACCGTGATTGCTGATAGTGCAATCCGTTAAATGTGGTTCGCGAATTGTGGTACATTACGCGAAAAGCTGACCATTCCGTGCAAGCATACGAGTACACAGTATAAAACTTATGTAATATGTCGCGAGAAATTTGTATTTCTTGCAGAGCGATAATAAAATCACTTTCTTTACGATCGTAAAATCTCTGCGCGGGCATACGCATCTCCTAAACGCAATTTGTCTACCGGCTCATTCATCAAACAGGATAAAATTACCGATTTCGTCGCAAACATCGACGTAGTCGCGATAGCGTTCCGGAGGCACGAAGCTATTCCGGTGTGTCGAGTATCTAACGACGTAACGTTGCGTACGTTAGGAGCACATCACGTAAATCAAGTTAACGTGGTACCGCGATGAAAGCCTTCGCCGGGTCGCTCGTCGCCGGTGAAATTTGCTTTTCGTTCCCCCTGCCGTGCCCATAAAATTCGATCAGCAACGCCGTATTCTCGTTGGCTGTGATGGCGTCATTATCTTACTTCGTCATTTTGCCGACAACATAGCGAACAAGAGAGAGCTACACGGACGAGGGAAAAAAGCACGAATGAATCGAGCGTTCACCTCTGGAATTTCATGGGATAAACTTTTCCGCGTATATCATCTCTATAATGGCGGACAGAAATCTAATATTACTTTTATTTCACTAATATATCGCCGCGCATCCCATTCACCGAAGGATACATTCTATTTTAACTTTTCAAGTTTTATTTTAAATCAAAGTTATATCTATATATTTTTAACCAAATGCGCGTAGCCGACTTTCGATATTTTTCTAACGCTCGTTGCATTCTTATTATCACGTATCACGCTAAAAGCCTGAGAGGGTAAACTCGGGGAGAAATATGAAACAGGATGAAGATTGAAGATCCAGAGAGGAAAAGGTACCTTTCAGAAGAAAAGACACTATGCGGAGGCGGGCAGACGTCGGGCGTTTCCTTAATTGCATTTTTATGCTCGCCCGGATTTCCGGGTCGACAAAAGAGTTCGGGTTTAAAGGGAAGAAAGGAGTTTATTATACCGAAGGCAGAAGCTCTCTCACGAAGCTGTGGCTAATCGTTAATGCGTCTTGATTTTTCTGCGAAATAAAGGAAATCGGTGCGACGTGCTATGTTAGAGGCTTTGCCTAGTTAGAGAATTTTGAATATCGACTCGATGAAATGTCCATTTAAGTCAACTAATAATAAAGATAAAAAATGGAACATACTCTCATAAAATATAAAAATGTGATAAAAATATGGAACTAATCAATAATAATTCATTATAATATTGATAAAATTTTAATGAATTTTTTAGTTCTATTCTAATTATTCTAAAATTTTTCGATGGGATATTTCTATCAAAGTAAAGCTGATTGAAAGTCAGATAAGCGAGAAGAGACATTCAAAACTGATTATAAAAGTCGACTGAAGCGACAAATCTAATTTCAATCTTAACTAAAAGTAGATTGGAACTGAAAGACACGATCGTCTCGACCTTTCGGAAAATCTTGTTTTCAGTATTAAGAAAACGAGGTAAAAGTTCAACAATTTTAAATGTTATGAAGGATCAAAAGAACACATTTTTTAAAATGACATAAAATCAATGAAAATAAAGATAAAAACTTTACATTGCTCTTTTTTCTTTGTCGAAATATTAAAAATTAATTACGTTCAAACTTTTTCTGAAATAATATATAACAAATACTCTTGTTAAATTTCAAGCAGAAATAATCATGTTATTGTATATTACATAAAACAGAAACGATAATTAGACTTTGTATCATTCTTTACTTTGTAGCTTCATAATTTTTTCACAATATTATTATTGTTCTATAAAAATTTTTTTTATGCGGGATTGCAATCTTTTTCCGTCGAATTTAACGCGTCTCCGATTTCATGATGGGAATCGAGCGATTGCGCGTATTATCCTAAAAAATATTTCCGGAAATTCGATAGCAAAGTCGGACAATGGAACGGAATCCCAATGGAAATGCAGAAAAGAAAAGAAGAGAGAAGTGAATTCCGACTGTGCGTGGGGTCGCACCGAATTCGTGTAACAGTCGCGAATAAGTTCGAACTGTCTTGTAACATCGACCGTTTGTTCCACCGAGCCATCTCTCTTTCTCCAGCTCTCCCTTCTCGCTCCTGGATTTATTGAAATTTTATGCGGTATCCCGATGAGGTCCGACTCGAAAATTTTATCGACGGCCGCTGGGTAGCCGGATCTTATATTACCAGGGAAAAAGAGGGTGGTCGGCTTCTATTTCGCTGCTCGAAGCTTATTACATTTTCCCGCGCTCCAAAGAGAGACTCCAAAGAGATGTCTCAGTTGGTCGGAAAGGAAGGATGAAATCTCGACAGAAGGTTACTTTCTGATTCATGATCGTGATTATATATATTTTCCCTTTTATCTTAGTTGAAGTAGTTTTCCTTTTTCAAATGTTAAAAATGTATTAATTCTATTTTATATTCTATTTTATATTAACACTATAATTTTTCCGTTTTTATCAATTGCCGTTTTTCTTGATTCAAGAAAATCTCAAATAATTTGTAAAAAATTAATTTCGCGTTGCAGAAAAGAAATAAATGTGTAATAATGCACGTTAAAAAATTCAGTGGATACGACGATATTTTATCGTATTCCCGTCCTATCATGTCCTCAATTTCTATGCACGGCAATATCTTTCCATCAGCGTGCATCGGAAAACCATTTATCGGGCCGCCAACGAGAGAAAGAGAGAGAGGAAGAACGTGACAAAGCTAACGGCACTCACCCTAGGTTATGGTTGTCCGTGTTGTCGGAAGCGTCGTCCGTCACGGAATCCTGCGTGAGGGGGCCCTGGGTGACGTCCACCCCCATGCTGCCCAGGTCCAACGTGGCGTAGGTTCGGCGTGCCTGCACCCTCGTTCCGCCACCCCCTCCCCCGCCACCGGTCACCTCGCCGCCTCTGCCCCCGCTGCCGACCAATTCCTGATACAATTCATCATACAGAGAGCTGCCATTTCCGTTGCTGTTCAAAGCATCGTCCAGCCGAGCTGGATCCAGATGATAATTGGGATTTTCGAAGGAGAGAAGGCCGTTTTCTGAAAACAAAAATCAGCATTATTTAGAAAAATATTCGAAATATAATTTCCGATCTTCTTATAGCTTATTGAATGTAAATTAAAGCGCTTTGTCACAGGAGATTCATGTGTTTCGTAATTCTTATATATATCCGCCTAATTAAAATTAGAACGATGAAAAATATTATCAATACAAAAGATTATAATTATTTTATAGACAATATATGGATAAAAGAATGATATTCTTATTGCAATATTTAATTTGAGACGGTTTAAAACAGCGATAGTATCGTGTACTGACCGAAGAAAAATAAACATCAATTTTGCCGGATGTATATGTGATTACCTTTTCATTATTTCGTTTGACGTGACTGTATGTAATATAATCAATTCCTATTCTTATAAGGAATATTCGCAGAATTCTGTTTCTGCGAACGACCCGGTTGTTTCGCGTGCCGTACGATATATCTCAAACGCGCGGTTTCGAAGCTTTAAATATCAGCAGATAACGAGCGACTAAAGGTCAAGGTTCCGAGTTATGGCAGACCATGGTAGAACATGCGATCAACCGCAGCAGCTGCCGGCGCATGCATATGATGTTTTAAAGGTTGTTCGATACATATCGACACGTGGCAAAGTGTTTCTGACATCGGAATAAACGCGTCTGATCATTTTAATCTGCAATTGGATGCATTTCCTCTTAAAGACTTGAATTGTCGATAAACAAAGAGAAAGTATGTAAATGTCGAAAAATTGAACACTGGATGTAAAAATAAACTTAGAATAACAAATGTTTCGATATTTGACTTTCACGATAGGATAAAACAAAAATCTGAATATTGAATCGAAATCCAACTTAAGTTTGGCTAATCGCGGTGACGATAACGATAAGAAAGCTTATCGTTGGAGATCGTCGAAGACAAGTATTATCTGACGATGGACGTTGCAAGAGAGTAATGGATCGAGCTTTAAGCTTTAAGCTTACCCGAGATAGATAGCCAAGTTAAATACTGCACAGTCGCGGTTATCCGATATTCCGACTATCTTCGCGGTAACTCGCACGGAATACTAATAAAATTTATTCAGCGCGGTTAATATTGACGAAGTACACCTTGTCCGTTAATATAGAAGTTGGGTAACCGCAGGAATTTATATCGCGCAGCCATTATGATTATTCATATATGTGGCTGTTTGGTATAATTATCGATATAAATTCATAAATAACAAAAATTCATAAATAACTTTCCAGTTAATATTGATACAGAAAACATATTTCGTTTTCGTAATTTATAAATAACTTTTATTTTTAAAACTTCTCTAAAAATTAGCCTTTTAATCGTTTGTCATATATACAGTTTATTACGAAGAAAGAGAAATATAATTCATTTTTATGAAATAATTTATTTTCGCAAAATGATATAACAATCCGCCTGATCGATGTCTCGCTCTCGCTACTCACTGATAATCCTGAGAAGGACGACAATGGCGAGAATGACGTTGTACAGGAACCGACAAAAGGAGTCCATGCTGGTTTGATGGCTGTCATGTTGGCGGAAAGGCTCAGCCCAATATTCGGCGATACTCTCGCGAAATAATCGGCAGGAGAGACGACTTATCGACGCGCTATATCGGGGAACGAACGTACAAGAGCTCCAAGTCTTGGATCTCTCCTTGGCCTCCTTTGTCCCTTCCTTCCTTTCTTTCTTCCATCCGCGACTCTCCTATCTAGTCTACAGTCTATCCGTCTCACTCGCGCCACCCGGTATTGATTCGTAAGAGCTTAAAGCTCCCCGCTTTCCAAGTCTTGAGCTTCTTTCGGTCGCACCGAGACTACTAGCGGATCGAAGACGACCCTAAATAGGCCGGACTAAAAACACTGCGCTGTCTCATGCTGTCTCAAATTCACGTCTTTGTTCTCGAAAAGCAAAAGAATGTAAGCCTAAAATTCATAAATTATAAATTTCAGAAGTTCACGAAATAAATATGTTAAAGTTATTAATGAACATGTATTTTTCTTCTGCTTTTCAAATACACAAAAATCTGCAGTTAAAGAACAAGAAATATGTAAATATCAACGCTATAAAATCGCAGATAAATTCCGGAGATAAAATCGAGTATAAATTCGCGGATGTTTATTCAGTTCGCGTTTGCACGGCGTCGACAATAAACACCATAACTTTGCGTTTACGGTAGCTGCGGTCGCGACGTAAATATCGATCACGAATCTGCAATACGAAGAGCGAATGGGCAATGAACTCTCATCATCCACGTCGATACGTTTCATCATTTATACAACGATCACGTGTGTGCAGCGATCTTTCTCCCATTTTTTTTCGAAGGTTGGGTTAACGCACAATTACCAAAAAAAAAAAGAAACGTATTAACTTGTTGCGCCATGGAAAGGCACTAAACGAGTTAGGCAGTGAAAAATACGAACTTTCTTCGATGGACGTAATAAGCCGGAAAAAGTAGAATTTAATGGTCATTTATTTTAATGGATTAATTGACTGCGTTTTTCTCGTTTACAATAAAGTGGCGAGAGATGCTTCTTCTCTAATGATCATTTAAAGCTAAAATTAATTGTTTTGTTATTTTAAATCTTCCTCTGTTCAACATAGACAAATGCGAGCATATTGGCAATGTTCTTTTTAAAAAATTAATTAGTTGACTAAAATAGAATAAATCATAATTTTCTAGCCTTTTAATATTATCGTTTAATTTTTAGAAATAGCGTTTGTCTATGCAAATTGTACAGTGTTACAAATTTCTTTTTTTATGTTATTTATTAAAATGTATCATAAAAGTTGGAAAAGTTTTTTCCAATTTATAAAATTCTTTAATTAAGCAATTATTTTATGACATGTAACGGTCCAATACCGCTTTCATAATTGCAGTAATTTATAAAAAAATATTCTATAAAAAAATTTCATCAACAAAGTAACACATTGTACACAAATTAAGCAGAACTACAAGTTTAATTAAAAACAGTATTTCATATGAGTTATAATTACATTACAAATTCATTTGAAAAGTTATGTTTGTAACGTTTTCATGTAATCAAATTGAGTTTATTATATTTAAAAATATATTCGCATAGTAAATTTGATTTTTCATTGTATTATATTATATTTTACGGAATATATTTTATTTTTCGCAGTATGAGTTTTGCCCGCAGATTCAACTGAACTTCCATTTACAAATACGAAAGAATCGGCATAACTTTTTTTCGGAGCTTCGTTAGCGCTTGCCGAGGCTTGTAATTTGCAAGAAATTTAAAAGAAAGCTGCGTAACACGAAACGAAATTGGAGAGAAAGAACGGATGAATCAGCGAAAGGGGCGGTTTGCTCGGGCTCGACAAATTGGCTGGCGACGACGTTCCGCCAGTTCTCGTTATAGATACGTGCGAGTGCAAGCAACGAGATTGTATTCCGCCGAATGCATCTCGTTATTTTCGTCCTGCAAAAATCCTGGCACCCTGGGGGAAGAGAGGAGAGATGGTGCAGTGGGGATGTGTTTTAAAGTTCGAGAGCACGTCCGACGCGCGAGACAGGCGGGGCGAGAAAAGTATTAAGGCGACCGGCGCGCGCGAGGAAGACTCTGAAAAATATCCTACGTGCTCGTTAAAATCCCATCTTAAAAAATTTCTCACGTGGCGCGAGCAGACGCGCGTTGTGTCTGAAAGCGGGTACGAGAACAGGAAGAAAGTAAAAATTGGCCGCTTTGAACGCATCTAACGAGTTCCGTAATGCAAGAAGTATTATTTACAGAAAACATTTTGTCAGATATTTTTAAATTGTTATCGTATGATTGTTTTCCTTTAAAGTACCATCCTTTGTTGCTAAAATAGAGATTTATGTATGTAAAACATATTTTTAAAATTTTGTTAAGCACATTTAAAAATGTACATATTTTCACAATAATTTTGCGCCTTAAAAGAAACGGAGAATTCGCGGATTAACCAAAGAATAATTTGTGTTTGGAATCTAAACGAATTGAGAGATTTTATTCGTTACAAATGTTATAGAACGAGAGCATATGTTCGTTGTTGTTCGGCGAACGTATCTATTTAAAAATGTACATATTTTCACAATAATTTTGCGCCTTAAAAGAAACGGAGAATTCGCGGATTAACCAAAGAATCTAAACAAATTGAGAAATTTTATTCGTTACAAATGTTATAGAACGAAAGCATATGTTCGTTGTTCCGCGAATGTATCTCGTTATTTCGCGTGGAATGAAGCAGTTTAAAGTTTGAACGCCTGTTGAGATCGCGAGAAGGGCTACGCGAACGAGACAATTAAGAGTGGCGGGAATAACGTAGAAATGTGAATGGTTCCAAGTTGTTTCACGGAATGTTTCCGAATTCATTCGTGAAAACAAATTCTATCGCGCTTGAATCTTATTTTGAAGTAGATTAGACAAACTTCGCGACGTAAACAGAAAGTTTTACATCGTCGATAATTAAAAAGTATGCGTGACCATCTGTAATCATATCATAATTCCGCGACAACAAAATTTTAAGAAACAATTACATAATATTGATAATAAATTTAATATTGTTATATTACGTAAATTTATTAAACATTGTAGAGAAAAACTCGGATAACGGAAACAAACGATAACTTTTGGGGACTGAACCCAATTGGTACAGACGGGACGACAAATTGACTGCAAATAAGGCTGGTCGCATTCCAGTTTTCACAGCTCCAAACAAAAGTGCACGGCGCAGTAACGACTGCATACTTCGAGATACGTCCCGTTATTTGTCGCTCCGAAAGGAACGTGCAGGAGCACACAGAGTCCGACCGAAAAGTGAGCTGCTGCGGGGAGTTTTAAAGTTTGGACACGCTTGCAGGGAGAGCAAGGAAACGGGGCGTTGGAGCCGGAAGCGAGCGAAGTCGAAAGAACGAAGTTGAGGGTGGATGGAGAAGAGTGCTGTAAGCAAGAAAGGTAGAAACAGAAAAAGAGGGAGAGAGCAGAAGAAAGGCGGGAGGGGTAAAAAGCTCTGTCACCGCCCTCG